CTAAGTCGCACTGCCCATGTGACCACGGAAGATTCCTTGCCTCGCTCGACCGAGCGAGGGCGCCGCTGCTCCTTCGGGCCGCCGCCGCCGCCGCCTCTTCGCACCAGGCGCCTTTCCCGGCACCTTTCCCACTCACTCCCCGACCCGGCGCTCGGGCGGAGGAGCGGCGATCGCGGGCAGGGCTTTCCAAACTTCTTTCTCTCTTCTCTTCCCCCCCACCACCATTTTTTTTTTTGGCCGGGCCGACTGCGAAGCGGAGTCATCCAAGGTGCAAACTGCCGGGAAGACGGCTTCGGCCCGAATTTTTTAATTTATTTATTTATTTGGCCCACTCACTCCCCGACCCGGCGCTCGGGCGGAGGAGCGGCGATCGCGGGCAGGGCTTTCCAAACTTCTTTCTCTCTTCTCTTCCCCCCCACCACCATTTTTTTTTTTGGCCGGGCCGACTGCGAAGCGGAGTCATCCAAGGTGCAAACTGCCGGGAAGACGGCTTCGGCCCGAATTTTTTAATTTATTTATTTATTTGGCTGCAGGGGCCGCTTCGATTTTCTGGGAAACCGAAAGGCGAAGTTGCGCGGTTTTCCTCCTCACTCCCCCCCCCAGCTTGCAAACGGATGGGTCAGGGATAGAGTTGCGGAGAACGGGTCGTGGGAGTGCAGAGACCGCTTCGGACGTTACCAGAAGAAAAAGCCTTTATTCAAGAGGAACAACAGAGGGTCTTGTAACGATTCAAAAGCTCCAGCCAGGGAAAGCTTTTCTGCTACTATTACGATCCCCCCTTCCTTTAAAGATGCCATAAAACCCTTTGTTGTTGCTCTTTTTTTTTTTTTTGCTGCGACAGATTTAGCAAGGCTTTCCCGCTGGAGTTAATGTAGGTTATCACGTGTCTTTTTGCTGCATACCTTTGAAACGGTTCAGCCTTGGTTTACCAGCATATGTATAATACTGCAAAACACTGAAGCGCGAGATTTTCCCCCACCATGGCCCTGATGTTTCATCAACCAAATCAAGCAAACAAAAACCTTGCCGGTTGTTGCAAGTGTATGCATACCTCTCTGGGAATATTTATTTAGAACGTTTTTGAGTTGTATCTCTTGCTATTGATTTAATTAGTGTGCTTGTTGATGAACACACACAAATAAAAGCCTTGGTTTTCTAAACTGCAGTACAGGTGTAGGTGTTATAAGCCAGGTGTAGGTGTCCATGCCTCCTGTGGGCCAAATTCTGCCTATTTTCAGGCAGCCCATGATGGCAGTGGCCAGCTCAACACTGCAGAGTGCAAGTCTGCTCTCCGGTCTCCTGCCCAAGCTTTCCCTGTTTGATGAGGAAAGCCTTTCCAAGTGGCTGGTGACTTCAGAGTAGAGATGGGCATGAACTGCAGTTTGGTGTGATTTGTTTTCCAGCTGAACAGCTGCTTTGCGGTTCAGCGCCCTGCCCCCTCCAATTGAGTGGGTGCCCAGATCAGTTGCTTGGCCCGGAAATGAACTATATCACACCATCTCTACTTCTGAGACTTTAGTCGCTAAGTCCTATCTGACTCTTCATGCCTCCATGGACCAGAGCATGCCAGGCCCGGCCCTCCTGTCTTCCATTGCCTCCCGGAGTTGTGTCAAATTCATGTTGGTTGCTTCGCACACACTGTCCAGCCATCTCATCCTCAGTCGTTCCCTTCTGCTCTTGCCGTCGCACTTTCCTAACATCAAGGTTTTCTCCAAGGACTCTTTTCTTCTCATGAGATGGCCAAAGTACTGGGGCCTCAGCTTCAAGATTTGTTTTTCCAGTGAGCACTGAGGTTTGATTTCATTTAGAATTGATAGGTTTGTCCTCCTTGCAGTCCAGGGGACTCTCAAGAGCCTCCTCCAGCACCACAATTCAAAGGCATCAATTCTTCAGCAGTCAGCTTTCTTTATGGTCCAGCTCTCACTTCCATACATCACTACAGGAAAAACCGTAGCTTTGACTATTCGGACTTTTGTTGGCAAGGTGATGTCTCTGCTTTTTAAGATGCTGTCAAGGTTTGTCATCGCTTTCCTCCCAAGAAGCAGGCGTCTTTTAATTTTGTGGCTGCTGTCCCCATCTGCAGTGATCATGGAGCCCAAGAAAGTAAAATCTGTCACTGCTTCCATATCT